ATTCCCCCAGTTAAAAAATACAAATAAACACACACATCTACAAAGGGATGAAATATAACTCTAATCTTTGATTGACCATTTACTGTATTCCAGAGGTATATTTTCATTGTATATTTTCATGTATATTCCAGTATATTTGCAGTGGGCTTCATTTAAAAACACAACAGACACAGTACAGACAGACACGACAGACTGACTAGATTTGTATTAGGAAACATTTCACAGCTCACTTTTTAAACCCATTACTGCTGAACGATTCTCGCAACGCTACAAAGCTCTGTAGTATTACTTCTAGTACTTCTTGTTCTTCCAAACAGAGTGTAGTTCTGAGTGATTGTCAGTTGATTGTCAGTTCAAAGTTTGTTGCTCTTCATCAGAAACATTTACTTTACTTCCTGATAAGGACAGTATATCTGATCATTGAGGGCAATGAATTCTGACCAAAAACCCAAAAGTCACTTTGCAGAGATGGAAAAACACTTTATTTAACTTCACTATATCAAGCATTTTGATTTAGTGTAGGTGTAGCTTTTGATTCTAGACTTGCTGACTGGACGACCAGACAGACAGACAGACAGACAGACAGACAGTCGGACAGTTCAGTCCCACAGCAACTAAAATTTCAAACAAAGGCAAAAACAGCTGCAAATACACTCTATCGGTCTGTACATATTAAAAAGTACTGCCGAATGTTTCGAATTTAAAACATATACAAGAGAGAAAAAAAATCTGCAAGGTTTTTATCGATTCTGGTGGAAGAGTTTTTAAATGAATGATGTAGGAAAACGAATCCGCATTAGCCTCGGTGCAGGCAGATGTTGTGTCACCTCAAAGCATCATTCATTCATTCAGCAGAATCCTTACACATTTACTTTTTTTTTCTTTTTTCTAAGGGAGCCGTTCGACTGCGGCTTGTTGCACGCAAAACAAGCGACAGACAAAGAGCAGATACATCTGTTAAATCAGAATAAAGGAAACATGACTTGCCATCCGCGTGTCCGAGGAGACAGGTTTCCTCTGTTCTACAGCTGTGCATCTGCAAAAGTTAGCGTGCGTGCGCGTGTGTGTTGGTGAAGGGATCAGCCGCTGCTGCCGCCGACAGTCGAAGCGCAAGTAGAACCAGAGCTGGAGCTGCACCATGGATGAAGAGAAGCGGGAGGCTGGGGCTCAGTGAGGACACTCATGTCTGATCCCCCTGAGACCACACGGACTGATGCTGCTGCTGCTGCTGCTGCTGCTGCTGCTGCTCAGGCGCATCACTGAACACAATCCTGCACGAGAAGCACACACGCCGTGGGAAACGTTCGATTACGTCTCGTGCACGCGTGTGATCTTTACAGCAGCACATTTAAAGAGAAACGCACGAACACCTGTTCAACTCCTCCACAAGTTATTCACCATGACAATTCTGTCGTCATGTTCGGAGAGCATTCTTCTCAACCTCCTACAGTGATGCACTTTGACCTCTGTGTTTCACTGTGGGGGTGGTGGGCTTTGGGTTAAATGCTTCTGGCAGAATTTAACTCATTTTGAGACGTGAAATATTAATTTATTTATTTCTCTCTCGTTTCTCCTTTCGTTTCTATTATTATTATTATTATTATTATTATTATTATTATTATTATTATTATTATTATTATTATTATTATTATTCAAACTTGAATAGAAACTTGGCTAAACTAATATATATAATATTATACATTTTTTAATGTGGCGCTTTGGCATGAGTGTGGAACCCCAGGGTTCACCTCCTGGGCAAGATCGAATCCCTGTTAAGGCGGTTGGTACCTTCCAGTGGACTCACCACCCGCAGGAAGGTTCAGGGGGGTTGGTATGGTGCAATGTGATTTGGGTGGCAGTCATAGAGACTGCTGCCCCCACGACCTGGTAATGGATAAGAGGATGACGATAGATGGATGGATGGATGGATGGATGGATGGATGGATGGATTTTTTTAATCTACAGTAGCTCTATACATTTGTTCCTTTCTCAGATTTGATAAACAGTGTTGTGACTACTGAATTTCTCATTTAACCGCTCCATCAATCTATCCGCTCCATTTTGTTATAATCACTTTTATTTTTCCAAGTGTAAACAGAAAATGTGATCAAATAGTTAATTCTGATTATAGTTCTTTTTTTTAAATTAATCTCCAGAGATGCTGACCGTACCTTAGGATGGATTAATAGCCACATACATGTGCTATGGGATTTCACCATCACACTATGACCTCTACGTCCTCTCATTCCAGTTAGAAAGGGAGGGCTGTCACCCCCTCCTGTGAATGACTCCCCTGGTGTGGAGAGATTGGTGCCATATCATCTCCTCTCGGGGGTTACTTTGGGGTCAGAATTGGACAATGACTGCTCCATTACTCTCAGGAACAGGGGGAGAGATTATCTCACCCCGTGGCACAGTCTCACTGACGTAAGTGTATCTGCACTGAGATGGGCAGAAAGATTGGCCAAATGAGCAATGGGAGCCTGGAGGCCACATGCTCTCCCCTGTCCTCTAAAGGTAAAGTCCGTGAGTTCAGCTAAGCTCTTTATTGTCTACATTATACACTCACATCCACACACACCCACCCACACACACACACACACACACACACACACACACACACGTTGTGTTTTCTGAGCAGTGAAATCAGGAATAATGCAGTGGTGCAAACAGGGAAGAAGCTGGAGCTGGTGACAGGCAGAGACAGCACAGCTGGAGGAGACACTCCATCAAAGCTACAGCTACAGGATGAGAGGAATGCACAACAAAATGCAATCACAGGAGGATGTGCAGGTGTTTTATCTGTTCCACCCGTGATTCAGTACGCACTATTTCACCCGCAAACACCCGTCATCAGACGACCGACGCCGTCACAAGCCTCTCCTGTGATGTTTCCAACACAACAATGACAACGAGCACTGAAGATAAAGTAACTCAGCTCTATCTTATTGTGTTTTTTTTTAGAATATAGTGGATATAAGTGAAGAGGTGTACACAGGTCTAGAAAGTATCATCCTCATGAGCGGTGAAAAAGCAGAGATGCGAGTTTCGCCTACATCGACTTCCTACAAAATGCTGTTGATTTTAGCTAAAGTAATGACAACCGTTTATTCTGGTGGTTTTTGCAGTAGTAATTGGATGATGCCCCTCAGTAATAACTAATTAAACGGTATTTGTCATTAATCCATCTTAATACTGAAACATCAGTCTATATACAGGATGAAGATGGCGTCAGTTAAACTACCACGGTTGTCATTTACACACACACTGCTGCAAATAGTTTTAGTTTCACTGAAGAACCTCAGGAATAAAATGTCATCTCAACTCCCAGCAAGTGTTTTCGGGGGCTTGAGCTGAAGGTCAGCTCCAGGTTGTGTCAGACTGACCTCACCCAGGGCAGGACAGTAAGTAAGTCTATGGCTAATACGCTGACTGACACAATTGTCAAATGGACTGGGAGGAACTGGAGACTGATGGACAAGGGCTCCACTGAAGTTTTGAAAGCAATGACTGACTATTTCTGCAAGTCACAGTCAGGATGCACAGTACTGACTGAATCCACCAACTATATGTAACCAGGGACCAATTCAGAGTTATAGTTTGGCAGATTTCACCTGAGTTTGTTTGGATTAGTGTGTCTAGTGTGTGTGTAGCAGATTATTCTAAGTAAACATTTTAATCTTTTGACAGAAAAAGGTTTTGGTTTGAACTAATATTGAACAACATTTGAATAAAATCCAAGAATTACTGCAACAACTATATTTAAATTTAAGATTAATTTAACCACCGTTAACACCACTTCTATTCAATGGACTTTGTTTCAATTTTAATTAATAATATATTAATTAAATTATATTTTTTATATATTTTTAACTAATAACTATTAACTTTAACTTATAAAAGCAGATATGTATATATATATATATTTACAAACATTCAAATATTAACATTTGCACAACTGCATATTGCACAACTTTTGAGTCAAAGAGAAGGACAACAGCAGTAGAATACACGTTTGTTTGGTTGTTTTTTTGTACTTTGTTACTATGACGACTGACATTGATGCCCCAGTAAGTGCTTCCTTTGGCATTGTCTGTTTATGCATTAGTAGCAAGAATCTATTGACATTATTAGATGGACCAATGGCTGCTGGTATGTTTTCAGAAGCACAGTAGGATCTGAGGTTTTCAAACTGTGTTTGAAAACAGGCAAAGATGTCTTTGCTTCTAGTGCTGTCTTTTTTTGGTTCATCCTGCTTTACTCTATCTGTGCTACAAAAGGGCACCCCCTCCACCCTCTACCACCTCCACCCCCACACTCCAGTTACTACAAAGCAGGTGAAGAAATTAGATGTTAAATAGAACCTTTAAGTGGCATTTTCCGATGCAGACAAATGGACAGTAGCAGTGACTGGTTTAATAATGCGCTCTATTTCATCTGGGCTTGTCTCTGCATCGTTTTGTTCCACTTGAAGTATTTTATATATAAACTCCTTCATGTTTTGTTAGTGGGAAAGCAAAAAAGCTCCAAGAAGAAACCATGGATTATGAATTTACAGAGACCTTCTGTGTCACTTCTCTAAGGTCACTGTTATGTAAATTGATAAAAGCTTGAAACGTAGACGTCCAAACATGACATTTCCTGACAATACCCAGACATTTATCAGCAGATCAACCATCAGGTCTTCTCCCTCACCACTACCATCAACATCTATTGAGCATTACTGCACTTTACACTCAGGTCAGACACCTTTCATTTCCAGCAGTATATTCCACTCCTGGTGAGTCCATGCACCTCTCTATAAAGACTTTATCATCTCGTTTTATCTGTGCAATCCCCAATTAATGATTATTTTAATTCACATGTGCAGCCCTATAGAAGTCAGCTGCACATCTCACTTGTAAAGTTTCTTCTCCTGGATGAGTTGTCGAAGCACCAGAGGCCCTAAAGTGATTAGCTGCTCCAACACTCCTGTACTTAATTGCCCCCCTGTCTAACTTGTATTTAAACCTTTTTATTCACTAAATCAAAGCAGGCATTAATGGGACTCGGGAGGTTGAGAGCCGTTACTGGCCAATACCTTTAGGTCCACAAAAGAGAAGAAGGTGCCAAGTACTTCCACTGAAGACTTGTCCTGTCTTCATGCACCTCTCGGAGCTGATCTCGCTCTCAACGCTTGCAGCATTGATTACCTGGCTCCCGAGAGCCGGACGCCCCCGCATCTTCTCGGTGAGATTGGAAACCTGCAATAAGAAAAAAATATTCTGTAAGCGGAAAACCGTGTCCTCCACGGACCTCCGTGTTTATTCCTTTGTTCCTCAGCACACACAGGTGCACAGAGCACAGCGTGTGATGATCATGATTCAGAATGTCTGTTATTAGTTGTATCGTCATGAGATATGTGTAAGGCAGGCGTGATAACCGCTACACAACAGTGTTACAACAAAAAAGAAGACTTTCAACCACAGGCTCTCCAACAGGAGGCGCCAAGTATGTGGTTCTTCGGGGGCTGGAACCCTAGACCTTCTAAGTGTAAGGCAGATGTGTAAGCAGGTGTGATGACCACTTCACTACGACCTGGCCCATATTTGATGTTTTACAGAACAACAGCCTGTAATGGTTCTACAAATGGAAATGCACAACCACACACTCTCACCCAGGGTTATAAAACCGGCCAATCAATGCTTACAGGAAGCATTGTCTTTACCTACCCTCATCTATTAACAACTGCACCTGCAACATTCTTATGAGGACATGAATCATTTGGCCACAGACAGGATGACATCTCAGCAGTTATCTGAGGAGGGTGTGTTTTCCTCTGGAGGAGAGCTGGCGTTTCTTTACACTATGTCTCATTTGACAGGGTGATGGAAAAGGCAGCCCCTTTATTCAACCCCCTTCTCCCCCTTAACCCCCACTCCTATAAGCAGGTGAAAAGAAATCTAATTTCACCCACAAGTATGCCAGCAGAGACAGCTAAATTTAATTCACCGAACAACCAGCCTCGCCCACACACTCTCTGTTGCTTTGAATTTGCAGGAAGGAAACGTATAGAACCCATGTAGTGTCGTTAAAACATCTATAAAAATTTTTTTTAAAATTGAGGGTTAGATTATTTAATAATTTATTAGATAATAAATGAATTTACTTGTGCTATGCAGTCAAAAGGGAAAACAACAATATTCCTAAATGTTCAATTACTTTTTATTTTTTACTTTTTTCTTTTATTATTTCTTCTTCTTATTATTACTTGTTTTTTTCCCAATGACCCTCACAGGATGAGCAGTGGTGAAAGACATTCAGGTCATCAGGAAATAAAGCGCTCACATTGACCTTGACATCCTTGTGGAAACATAATCATTTTAGCACCAGGAAACGGGTGAGATGGAAAGTTCAGATTAAAATGTTGAGAAGTGCAAAAATAA